AGCGCAGAGCAGAGACATTAACTAACCAGAGCAATTTCAGAACCCTTTTAGACCCCTGACTTCCTTCTGGAAGTTCTGTTTCATTTCATATCTTACTTTTTTTTTTAAAGATTTATTAGAGAGAGAGAGCGCGTGCGCAAGCAAGCATGAGCGGGGGGAGAGGCAGAGGGAGAAGTGGATGCCCCACTGAGTAGGGAGCCTGGGCTCCATTCCAGACCTCAGATCATAACCTGAGCTGAAGGCGGATGCTTAGCTGACTGAGCCACCCAGGCTCCCCCATATCTTACATTTAAAACAATGTGTAGAACTTGAATTACAGTTGACTGAGTGAAAAAAAATATTAGATCTCTTTATTAACTAAAACATTTAATGTAATATTTACAGGTTTTGTTTGTTTGTTTCTTGGATCTTGAAGCCAGTTTTTTTCTCCCCTTGTCTTCAAAGGTCCCTGAAAAGCTCATAGATTCAGTCATTGTGTCTCTAGTGCCTAACTTGGACTTGAGTGGGTGTGGGAGAAAGAAGGGAAAGGATTGGAGACCTGACCTGAGCCCTGACATCAGAATGGTAAGAGAAGGCTCAGGTGGAGAAAACTGTGTGCAAAGGAATGGAGACTAAAGGTAAAGAGGGTGTTGAATTTAGGGAGCTACAGTATAGTACCATGTGGATGGAATGTACTCTGTTGGATGGTGTGAGAAGCAAGAGATAAAAGTTGAAGTGGTAGGCATATCATGAAGGATATACATGTTTTCTGTTTTGGGGAAAGATGTGATGTTTGGTTAGAGTTGTAGAATTTTGCCTTTTAAGAGTCTTGCCTTAATTTTGCCTGTGTGCTGCCGAGGCTTCAGAATAGACTGAGTGACTGGCATACAGTCATATTAAATCAAAACGTTCCTAGAATAATATTTAACTTGATTTTTTTTTTAAAGATTTTATTTATTTATTTGTCAGAGAGAGAGAGAGAGAGAATACACAGGGGGAGAGGCAGTGGGAGAGGGAGAAGCAGGCTCTCCACTGAGCAGGGAGCCCGATGCGGGGCTCCATCCCAGGACCCTGGGATCATGACCTGAGCTGAAGGCAGTTGCTTAACCAACTGAGCCACCCAGGCGCCCCTTAACTTGATTTTTAAAAGACACAGCATAGATTAAAATTGACTACAATTTCACGCTTAAATTTATTTACTGGCATTACCCATAGCTTTAATTGTTCACATTTGGATAAAAATGGATACTGATAGCTTATTTAGGATCCTCTTGTGGTAAATACATGATTTTATCCTCAAAATGGTAACTAAAGAAAAAGATCAGTAACTTTTTAATTTGTCTTTGTAGCCAGTCAGATTGAGGAGTCACTGATCTTTTTCTTTTTGCTAAATGCCTATTGGAGAAAAGCTTGTCAACTGGATCTTCCTTTGTATAAAAGAAAATTCCTAGACTTAGAGCCATTTATTGATGATTACTTGCCACAAAGTAGGTAATTTATGTATATTCACCAAGTCTCATGACGTTTGAACAGGAGGATTATTTCTATCCTCAGGAAATAGGCCTAGCGTAGTAAATTAAATAAAAAGAGCGGCAAATCCGGGATTTGAATCCAACTCTAACTCAGACCTATGGTAAGTCAATATAAGCTTTCCCCTAAATTTCAGATTGCTGTGAGCACACTGACTTGGTGATACATACTGTCTTAGGAACCGATCTGTGTTTCTTGTCTGTCCATTTTTAAAACAATTTAAGTCAGTAGCCAAAGGCCTTGGATTTCTCAGAACATTTCCTAATTTGTTTACTGTGTTATATTTTGTGAGGCAGATGGTTTTGGGGGGTATGTTCATGTATTTATGTGACTTAGGAATCTTTTTTTTTACTGAAAAACTCTGATATCCTTTGCTGTTGTGTTGAATGCATTGAACATATATTGGGGTTACTTCCGGCAGTGATTTGGATTCTTCTAGCTAAAAATCATTTTGCTAGCTAGATCTGGTTATTGAGAATCTGGGCAAGACTCTGAGAATGGTAGCCAGATCTAGCCATTCATTCCATTGACTTTTTGTCAGAAGGTAGGATTAACATTGTTTTACCTATCTCCTCAGGCCTCCTGCACTAGTGATGATCTGCAAAACCAGAGACAACATTATTGGCCAATGGTCTCAGGGCTGGATGGAGGGAATGTAGATACAATTACTGACATCCATAATCCTTGTGACCATTGGAGGAATTTGTTTTAGGACAAATATAAAGATTCCTCCGTCAGGCGGTAGCATGTATCTGGAATCGCTGCATCAGGCACTTTACAAGCTCAAAATATTAAAAGGTTCAAGAATCACAGCAAAAAAAAAAAAAAATAACTAAAGTGACATTATGGTTCCATCCCAGGGCTTTGAGGATGAGGTCATGAATGGGTCAGTAGTTCTGCTATAAACTGCTCTTTGCTACCACGGACACAGCGCTTGATAGGATGGACCCTAGTGATTGCTTAGTAGTAGCTCACATATGTTGAGCTCTGACTTTGTCAAGTACTGTAAAAGCCTTTATTTATTTATTTATCTTGTTTTATTTTTTAAAAGATTTTATTCATTCGGGGGCGGGGGAGAGAAAGAGTGGGTGTGCACAAGCAGGGGGAAGGGCAGAAGGAGGGGGGAGAGAATCCTCAAGCAGACTCCCCGCCAGTGCAGAGCCCAGCGTGCGGCATGATCCCAGGACTCCGGGATCATGACCTAAGCCGAAGGCAGATGCTTAACCGACTGAGCCACCCAGGTGCCCCTGTGCAAACTTTTATATGAACTATCTCATTTATTTTTTTCTTTTTTTTTTTAAAGATTTATTTATTTGACAGAGTGAGAGAGCACAAGCAGGGGGAGCAGGGGGAGGGAGAAGCAGGCTCCCCACTGAGCAGGGAGCCTGATGTGGGGCTCAATCCTAGGACCCTGGGATCATGACCTGAGCCAAAGGCAGACACCCAACCAAGTGAGCCACCCAGGCGCCCCTCTCTACAACTTTTCTGATTCCCATCACCTTCATGTATGTAGAAACGCTTTGAAGTTGCTTTGAGGTGAGCCTTCTCAGGCATCTCAGCTGCTTTTAGCAGCTTCCAAACTGCCATTCCAGGTCCAATTCCCTTATTCAGACCTTCCACACAGTTTTCGTGCTAGACTTAGATTTTCTAATTCTGTGACTGTGATGTAGAGGTAGGGTTGTGTTTTCTGTTTAGTTCGTCCTGCATTTGAGCACCTTTCATAATGTATTGGCAACTGTTCTGGGCATAGAAGCAGCCCTGCAAATGGTGGGGCATGGTTCCTAACCTTGAAGAGCTCACTATCTCGTGGAGGAGGCAGTTATTGAAATTGTTCCTGGGGTGCCTGGGTGGCTCAGTTGGTTGGGTGTCTGATTCTTGGTTTTGGCTCAGGTCATGATCTCGGGGTGCTGGGATCAAGCCTGTGTTGGGCTCTGCGCTCAGCATGGAAGTCTGCTTGTCCCTCTCCCCTGCTCCCCCCAACCCCTACCCCTCTGCTTGCGCACATGCACTCGAGCTTGCTCGCTCTCTCTCAGATGAATAAATATCTTTTAAAAAATTGTTCTTTTATCCTTTGGGTGAATGCAGGATGGGCCTCTCGTGTTTTCCATGTTTCATAGTGGTGGTTGATATTTGAGCTGGATCTTGAAGGATGAATAGTTCTTTACCAAGTGGAGGGAGGAGAAGGAGGAAGCACAGGTAGGCAAGAAGAGATGTGGCATGTTTAGTGAATGGTGTGACCCAAACAGGACTATAGAAGACTTTAAAAGTTGTGGTGCTTAAATGGTGTCCCTGCTGTTTGAATAGCTCTTTTCCACATGACTCCCACTGCCTGGTCTGGCTTATGATGGCCTAGATATGATGACAGAAAATGCTCTCATAGGGGGTAGGAAAAAAAGGAAAAAAATAAAGAAGAAGAAGAAGAAAAAAAGAAAATGCTCTCATATTCCTCTAGTTCTAGTTTTGCTCCTTTTGTTTTTTTTAAGTAGGCTCCATGCTCAGTGTGGACCCCAATGAGGGGCTTGAACTCACAACCCTGAGATCAGTAGCTGAGCTGAGATCAAGAGTTGGATGCTTAACCTACAGCCACCCAGGAGCCCCTGCTCCGTTATTTTTGAATTGACCATTGAGATATTATAGTTGGTGTTTATTGAACAGCTTTGTGCTAGGCTTGTGAGATAATTTGGATATAGTTGTGAACAAGACAGCCAGGTCCCTTCTTCTGTAGAATAGTCTCATAGTGGAGTTAGACATTGAGCAAGTAATTTCTTGTTGATGAGTGCACAAAGCGTTATAGATAATTATAATAGGGTATTTTGACCTTGTGTAGGAGGCAAGAGAAGCTTTTCTGAGGAAATATTTAACCTGAGGATGAATAGAAAGCAAACTGGAAAAAGTTATCAGTTACATATAGAACACCTACAGTATGTTTGCTCTTCACTATGCTTGATTTTTCTCCTTAGTGTGATAGCTACACACCAGACAGACAGATATAGCTCAGACTTTTTGGGCCTGAAATGGGCTTTGAGAGGTATTTATTCCAACCTGAACTGCATACTTACTAATGGAAAATTGCTTCCATTTGTGTGTGTAGGTAAAATTTTCAGCATTTGTGAAACTTTTAAGTAAAATTACCCTGTTTGATATTTTTCGTAAGTTCATATTTTGTATCTTTTGCTTTCTTTTGGAAAATAATTGATAATGTTAAGTAGAGCATGTCAGATATTTAGTGAATTGTAATCTTTCTATGAATATTTATTCCAACTAATATTGATATGCTCACTCAGGCCTCATCACTACCTTGCGGTAAGTGCAGTTACTCTTTCCATTTTTTTATATAATGATGAAATGGAGGCTCAGGGAGGGATATAAAGTAGCTAAATTGTAATAGAGGTAGGATTCAAATCCAAATTTGACTTCTCAGTCTGAATTTTTGAGTGACCTTAGAGTACTTCATGAATTATAATCTTTTTTCCCTATTGTTTTCTCTTTAGGTTTTTGTCAGGATGAATTGCCAGAGCTTGACCCGGGCACTAGTAAGTTCTGAATGTTCCCCAGTGTTCGTGAGTAAGAAAAAGATGTGTGTGTGTCCTTTTAAATATATAACTTGAGGGTGTCATTGGTGGTCATATTGACTCAGATCTTACTTCACTTTGGTTTATAATTATGGGGAGGACATTCTATCTTTTCTGGTTATGCTTTCCTTTTTTTCTCATTATTCAGTGGTCAGAAATGTAATCATTTAGTAGAAAATTGGTTTGCTAAAAATTTCTATTTAATATTTTTTTTTAATTTCTATTTAATATTAATCTCCTTTTCCTGTTCTCCATCCTCCGTGAAGCCAACAACAAAAATTGTGCTTTCATTTATGCATACATACAACCATGTAATATATTCATAACCACTTCTCTAAAGTACTGACTGACTTCGACATAATTTTTTTTTTTTCTGAGATGACAGAGTGGTCGGGGAGGAGGACATAATTTTTTTAAAGGAGGGATTGTGCTTGGTTTAGGTATTTATACTCAATGACCTTTGTACCACAGTTTAATTTCTACAGCACCTTTATCTACATTAAGGTTAAGGTTACGGTTACGAGGGTGACTGTTTCAAGGTCTAATTACATGATGCTTTTAAGGTCTCTGTCTTGATCCTAATCGTCATTGTTGCCAGTTGCTCTCAAAATGTGGCATACACCATTCTGGGAAATGGTTATAACTATTAGAAATAGGACATGGGAATATCCAATTATAAAGACCTTGTTTTGCTATAATGCCAAAAGGTTGAATGATAATTCAGATTTGAGAATTCATGAGACAATCTAGAGTTATTTTTTCTAGTTCTAGTACTTTTTAAGGTCATGGGACTGGCTGTTTGTCACCAGTCTGCTGTTGATGTCAGCGGTAGAGTTTACCTTCTCACCGTCCTAGCTAATATCGGCTCTCTGAGGGTGTGGACCTTTTCATATATTTTTCCCACATACCTTAACAGTACAAAAATTCATGTCTGATTAACTAGTACTTAGTAATTGCAAGACAAAATAAGTCCTATAATGCTTATCAAACAGCAGGAAAATAGAATTGTCTTTCTAGAAATTGTAAAGTTCAGAGTCAGCTTTGTAGGTAGTGTATGCTGCCAGTACCTATGAGTGAACAAAATATTTTCTCTTTGCCCTTCTCTTATGAATAGCCTTCATTTAGGAGGAGGAAAAAGGTAAATTCTTCAGTTACCGTCCTTTCTTGGATTTTTTAACATTAGGAAGGACATTGAAATGCTCTGAAATCTTTGACAGAACTACACAAAAAATGTGCAAGATAATTGAGAACTCTGTTAAACATTGCATGCTGTCTCTACTCCAGGCTTAGTTCTAGGTTCCAGAGATACACAAACAGGTAAGTCTGGGTCCTCTCCTCACATATTAAGTTTATTGGAAAGTATTTACTTGTCTGGAATTACTTGAAAAAGCATTTTTTAAACCTCTAATTTACTACATAATACTCAAACTTATTCTCCTTTTCTGCACTTAATAGCAGTTGAAAATAGCTCCTGCCCGTTTTCCAGGAAAGGCCCTCATTAAGATTATTATTGAATTATTCTTCCTTCTGGGCCAAATAATGCTAACTCATTTAACATTTCTGCATAGAATTTCTAGCCAGATGTGGTGATTTACACACCTCTCCATTCCATGAGAATGAACAGATACTGAGTCATAATTTTATATATCAGTGTAGAATAGGAGCCACCTAAAAAAAATCACTTTTCTTTTAAAAAGTGTGCTTAGCTTATGTGGGCAATATTCTCAATAATCCCCATTTATCTTTGTGAAATTAATAGTGTTTTATTCCTCTCTCTTTTACAATATTATTATAATACTATTATAACAAATGGGCAGAAGTAAAAATTTATCATCTCTGTCTCAGCCATCTTGGGGTTCAAGTGAGCGTGACCAGCCATAACAAGTGATAGGAGACCTCAAGACTGATATAGACTGTATGTGTTGTCTTAAGTTGGTTATGAATGTTGATACTGCAAATTCCATGGCTTCTGACTGGGAAGGAATAATATTTTCTTTGTTAATGTTCTAATGACCATTAGATTGAGAACAATAGGGATTTCTCCCCGATGCCTCTTTGGAATTTAGAGGCCCCAGTGTCTCCTCTACCCCTCAAATTCTTGATAGGGAAAGCCTGCTCATACTTGCTTATTTTGGAACAGGAAACACCATTGTTGCTGATTTCCCATTGTGGTTGGCAGTGGTTGTAGATAGCAAGTTTGGGTCAACAGGTAGGATGTGTTGGAACATAGATGAGGAAAAAATTTGATTTTTGTCCTATTCAAATGGCTTTTTTCCCCCCCAGCCTTTTCTGTGATAGAGCAGATGGATAGCCATGCTTAGA